AGCGTGGCGTTTCCAGGTCCACCGTGCTGTAGCCTGGTCTGCACTTTGTTCCTTTTCATGGCAGAGTAATATTCTGCTGTTGGATTGACTGATTTTGTTTCTCCATCTATCGGCTTATGGACATCTAGGCTGTTTCCACCTGTTGATTCTTGTGGACGGTGCTGCTGTGGACATTCACGAACAAAATGCTTGCTTGGATGCATGTTTCCAGTTCTTCGAGGCTGATCCATGGGCTTGGAGTGGGTAACATTTGTTGTGTGCGTTTGCTGTGCACCCACCCCACCTGTTGTGTGCGTCCTGCCCCCACGGAGACTCTTGGGGGTGACTCGCGCAGTCCTCTCTCTTCCCTTCACACACTCCAATGTGGGCTTCCTAAGAAGCATGGTTGCCAGTCTCGGGAACTTGGTCATTGAGGCAGCACTTTTATCTCCCAGGGTATTCCACTCTTGTCGACTGACCCTGTAAAATCCTTCACGACACATTTTTCCTTCTGGTAGGGCGCCCTGTCTAGGATCCGTATTGCGTCAAACTGTTACATCTCCTTCCCTTTTTCTGAGTTTGGGACCGTTGCTCTGCCTTTGTCTTTTATCACATGGCATTTTTGATGCATGCTGGTTCCCCATCCTCACTTCCTGTTTATCTCACATTCCCTCCCGATTAGACTCAGGCTGTGCGTTCCTAGATTACAGCACTAGATGCACCCTTCTCAGGGTGTTGCGTCTGGACCGGCCTCCTTGTTGGCGCTGCCCATGTGATCACCCAGTGAGGGGCTGTCCCGTCTCTGCTATGTGATGACTTTTCCCCGAGCACTAATGAGCCGTCCATGGGGGACAAGTAGGTTCTGCAGTCCTCTGTACCTCACCATCCCCCGAGATTTGCCCTCCATTTGTGGCTCTTACCTGCCCCCGTCTCCCTCTCAAAGCTGCAGAGTGATGCTTTTCCAACCACTTTACCAGCCAGCGCTTTATTAGAAGTGAGATTCTTTCCATTCATGGATTCATTCATTTTATTTAAATTATATTAGGTCTGTTTATTGTTGGAGTGGACTTGCGGACTCCTGTTTTTCATGGCCTATCACAATTGTCTCTTCTTACTCATCATACTGCTCACACTGTCCCAGCTTTGGTGAGGACATCCTTTGTCCTTTGGGTGTCACCCGACGTGCTCTTGGATCCTTTCTTGCCTCCGTCAGAATCACCTGTCTCAGGCTCATCTTGTCTCTCCCTGCCCTGGCCCAAATCAGCCATTTCTCCTGGAGCCCTGGGCCCTTCTGGACGGTGGCAGTGTTTGGGGCCAGGCCTGATGCAGGAGGGCTGTAGAGATGGAGCTTGGAACATGTGAGCGTGTGTCTGTGTGTGTTCAGACACATGTGCACACCGTAGACACGTACTCACAAGCACGCTCAGGATGTGCACACACAGACGTGTGCGTGTACTTGCATAGTCTGTGTGCTGCTTCTTTCTTTAAATGTCTGGGTTAAGCCTTGTCCTCAGCCCTGGCCCGTTCCTATGGACTCCTCTCGCCTGCTCTGTCTCCCGCCTCTGCCGGGAGAGCCCCAGCTTCAGGAGCCTCCTCACATTGCCTCATTGCCCAGTTTGCGGGGCGTCTAGGATGGCTTAGGAATGGCTTCCTGCCCCGCTACAGAAACACCCTCCAAAGAAAGTTTCTTTGTCGTTCTCTCCGCCGCTCCGCCCCCCCCAAGACTTCAGGTAATGGGCGCAGGTGCATTAGTGAGCCCACCGCTGCCGCTTCTCACTCAGTGGGAGGTGCGGGGTCTGGGAAGGGCGGGTAGGCCGTGTCACTCTCATGAGGTCAAGAGTCAATTGTTAGGCACAGAGAACGATGAGGTCATGTTCAGTGCTAACGCGGGGGTTTTTCCTATGCTTGCAGCTACGTACTTTTGAGCTCTTTATGGGGTTTAAAAACACTTATGTATAAGAGAGTTGGGTTACCAGGAAACAACAGAGCAGTTAAGACGCCTTGATTTTATCTCACCATTCGCCTGCCAAAAATAATTACATTTGCCCTGGCTCCCAGGCAAGCTCTGGAGAAGGGCGTGTGTGGCTGGGCCGGAGGCACCCACTGAGTCCCTGCCCGGCCTGTGGGTCTCTGTCCTACAGCTCTCAGCTCTGGGTTATCAGGGTTAGGGACTGCAGGGCCCAGGGTCCAAGGCTGGCTCTACTGTGTGGGGACCTCAGTGTTGGACCTGCCCTTACCACAGCCCCGTGGCTTGGCTGCTGGGTGCCTGTCACGCCTGTGACTGTCCCGGAGCAGTGCCGCCGCCAGCTTCACGGGTTGAGAGTCTGCTGCTGGCAGCTAGATGACAGCGTGTCAGCTCTGTCCGCCAGAGCCTTGGGCAAGTCCCCGGAAGAGACCTGGTGGAGAGGAGTGGCGTAGCGGGGCGGCCTGACGCTTCCACGCACTCACAGCGGTGTCTGGTGAGGGCAGGAAGGAGCAGGGCCCCTGCTGTGTCTGCGGCAGGGAGGGAAGGATGCCACAGAGTCAGCACTGTCCCCTGTGGTGGGTTGACGTGGAGGAAAGAGTTGAGTCCCGTCCCTAATATATGCCTGGGGCTCTGTTCAGATGCAGTTCCCTCCCAGATTGCCTTAGGGGAGCCCTCCCAGCTGCCGTCCCTGCACTTCCCGCACAGCGGGCTTTAGAGGAGGATGGGCTGGTGACCTTGGGTGACTCCTCAATGCCCATGGCCCCCAGCTCTGTATGATTTCTTCATGGCATGGTTTTGCCAGTTAGATGCCAGGGGTTGCCGAGTGCTACAGAGAGGGGCAGGACTGTGGGCTTCGAGCCAGGAGAGCGTGGCTGAATTCCCGGCTGTCACCCACCATTTAAGGCTTTGAGCAGTGACTGACCCTTCTAGCGCCTCCTTGGCGTGGCAGGGACAGTGCCCACCCTGCGGGGCTGCTGTGAGGGGCAGGGACCAGACCACGTTCCGTGTGGGTCTCCCCACATCAGCTCGTCAGAGCTGGAGGTCAGAAATGCCGGGTCTCTAGTGTGTGTATTTTAAAGCGTCTGCCCTTGGCCCTGTTGAAGCTGTGTGAACAGGACTGTGTGTGGGGAATGCCTGACATGGGGAGTCCACCCCTCCTGCTTTCTGGGACTTGGATGGTTTTTCCCCATCAGCAACACTGAGGTCAAAAGGGGCTTCGTTGAAGCATGCGTCTTGTAAAGACAGCGCCCGGGTGTGGGGGCTTTGGGGGCTGCTGCCTGGCTGTCCTGAGCATTGATTGGGGGCGTCCCTGGGGCCTGGAAGGAGCTCTCGAGCACGGCTGTCAGTGTGACGGCTGTAGGCGCTCCCGAGCACGGCTGTCAGTGTGACGGCTGTGTCTTTTTGGGGGGGGTGCCTTGCAGGCTCGGGGGGGGGGGGGGGGGGGGTGCGCCAGGCCTGAGTCGTGGCCGAAGCCACGCACGGTGTTCTGTAGGACTGTGCCACGCGTGAGCCTGGCGTCTGGGTTGGCCACCCCACAGCAATCTCCACTTCCATGAGACCTGCTGGTGCGTGGGAGCCGCCTTGTTCCCAGGCTTCCCGGCGGGGCATTTATGGGGAAAGCAACCCTGATGGAAGTGGGCACAGAGGCTGCACCTATAGGCCGCGGTCTGGGCCAAGCGCTGTCCTTCTGAGGAGCCGGGCACCATGGTGCTGGGGTCATGGAGAATACAGGCCCCAACTACCTGAGAGACCCAGGCTGCGCACACCCACCGACAGCCTCGTGTCCCACAGACGGGAGGGGAGGGAGGTTCCTGGGCTCACTGTGGCTGTGTTCAGTCTTTGTTGTGCCGCATCCGTTTACCACCTGCTCTTTTGCAGATGTTTTCTTTAATTGGCCTTTTCCTTTCATATGTTTGCAAATCAAACTTTATGTTACCACAAATAAAAAAAAGTATCACAGCTTTAAACAGAACAGAATCGCAAACACGGGAAAAGTGAAGGGGTAGTGCAGGCGGCTCGTTCCCTTCGCCCACGCGTCCCGGCTCCCTGCATGGGTTTCTGTGAAGAGGGGGCCGCAGGCGCTGGTACAGGTGCACCTTGGTAACATCAGGGACAGCTCCTGCCAGGTGGGCGAGGTGGGAAGGAGGGGAGCAACGCCAGCATCCGGCCCCAGCGGTGGAAGGAGCAGGAACCTTCCCGCCTGGGTGCCGCAGGGTGCTTGGGCCTCGCACGCGGCCGAGAGCCTGCTAGAAAGGCAGCTTAGTAGGTTGCACAGGCTACTGGACAAGGCTGAGCCCTGCTTCCTACATTCACGGGAAGCTCATCCTGGCGCCCAAGCGTGACACAGAAGTGCCCCCACAGCATTTTGGACAGCCTGGAAATGCCAGGGTAGGTCCGGTTGGCCGGACTCAGAGGCTGGCCTTGTGAGACTTTTCGGAGTGGCCGGGGAGGGCTGTGTTTTCTGTGACCGGGGAGGGATTCTCCCGAGAGCCCCATGCCCACCCCACGTCTCACCCCACTTGGCAGACCCCCAAGACAGAGCCTCTGGAAGGATCCGCACATGACTGTTTTATTGACAAAGGCTGAACATCGCCAGCCTTGTCAGCTTTTGTTACATTTTATGGGAAGGTTTTTATATCATCACCGCAGTTGTCCCCAGCTGTTATTTCTGTAGAAGCAAATTCGGCAGCCACACGTGCTGGAGTATTTCATTGTCCTGGCACCCAACTAGCCCACATGGCAGCTCGCACAGTCCCAGTCCACGAGTGCAATTGCCATGACGATGTCAACAAGCAGTGACTGAACCGCCTCAGAGCAGGCGGTAGACGCTCGGCAGAGGGCCCTTCCTGCTGCCACGGGCCGGGCGTTCCACAGAGGGCCCTTCCTGCTGCCACGGGCCGGGCGCTCTGCAGAGGGCCCTTCCTGCTGCTCTGGGCCGAGGACCTCGCAGGCCTGGCGAGGCCGCACAGCGCCATTGCTGCGGTCCTGGAAGATGGAGGGTGCTCAGGCATGCACCAGAGCGTGTGTTTTCCTTTTCCTCTTTAACTCGGCGGTGCGCCAGCTAGCTCACACCTCGTGCGTTCCCGACCGTGGGTGCAGAGGACACACCGCAGCATCCAGCTGAGACCCACTAGCGTCTTGTGTCTCCAGCGTTAGTTCCCCCACAGTGGCAGACCTGCTTTAGGGTACGTGTAACTGAGTTGCGTCACCACAGTGGCCTCTCCATGTGACGTTCGTGGTCGAGGGTGTCGGAAGCGTTTCCCGTGGCGCCAGGCAGGGTGTATGGGGAGGACCACGGCGACAGGCTGGTCAGCGCTGACCTTTGGACCCTGCGGGGCGAGCGTTTTGGGATTGTAGCAATTCTATGTGAGAAGTGAGGAGTGCAGGGCCAAGGAGGACCAGTCGTGAGGTTTCCTTAGCAGCCCCAGGGTGACCAGGCAAGTGTGACTCTCTCGAGGCCCCGAGGAGCCGGAGCCACGTCTGACAGCGGTTTGGAGACATGACATGGCCGTGTCTTGTGTCCACCCAGGTGTGTGCAGCTCCCGAGTCACACGCCGGCGGGGCCTGTGCGGCCGAGGCCGTCTACACGGCGCTGCTGAACCTCACGTCCGACTGCTCGGTGCTGTCTGGAATGACGGCCTTCAGGGCGGCGTGGCAGAAGCGGTTCAGGGCTGGCAGGTTTGTTTTCTGCTCAATGTACAGCCTCAGCTTTTCCCTGAAGGTCTCCCCGAGAAAGCTGTAGATGAGGGGGTTGAGGCAGCTGTTGGAGAAGGCCGCGAGGTTGACAATGTGGCCGGTGAGCGGGTGGGCGTGGCGGAAAGACTGCTTGCAGGGAGCGGCCCCGGGCTGCGTCTGCTGCAGGAGGTGCACGCTGATGAAGACATTCTCCGGCAGCCAGCAGACGAAGAAGACCAGCACCACCGCGAGGATCATGCGGAGTGCCTTCTGCCGCCGGGGCCGCAGCCCGCGGTGCCGGTGTGCCCTGACCAGCACCCGGACGATGAGGGAGTAGCACAGGCCGATGATGGCAAAGGGCACGATGAAGCCCAGCGTGACCTCGAGCCACTGCACCTCCCGGACGTCTGCGAAGCAGAAGCAGGCCTCGTCGGTGTGCTGCAGGTGCACGGCGGTGAAGGGCACCAACGTGGCTGACACAGATGCCATCCAGATGAGGCCGCAGCTCAGCCGGGCGTGGTGCTTGGTGCGGAACAGGCTGCAGCGCATGGCCCTGGCCAGGGCAATGTAGCGGTCGAAGCTCATCCAGGTGAGGAAGAAGACGCTGCTGTACATGTTGACCTGCAGGAACAGCGACATGAAGGTGCACAGCACGGCGATGTCGTAGTACTGCTCGTGCAGGTTGAACACCTCGATGAGGGAGTCGGCCACCAGGATGAGGTCCGCCACCGCCAGGTTGATGAAGTACAGGTCGGGGATGGTCATCTTCTCCCGGAAGCTGATGTTCACCACCAGGATCAGGATGTTGCCCACAAAGCCGATGGGGAAGAGGAAGATGGTGTAGAGGCACGAGAGGAACAGGCCAATCACGTACTGCTGGTGCTCCGAGAGCTCGCCCGTCCCGTTCGCCAGGGCAGCGCCCAGGAGCAGGTGGGACAGGTTGAGCTCGGGGGAGGTGGTGTTGGGGGCTGCAGGCTGCATGGTGCGCGGGTACATCTCCAGGCCCACGCCCTGGGCTTGGGAAGTCACAGCCATGTCTCTGCACCGTGGAGCTTTCAAGATTTGCCAAAAGGCTCCCAGAGCTCTGTTTTAAACAGCGAATCCATCTTTAGAAAGAAGCGTGATTCTCCTTGAAGTGAGCCCGGCATTTGTCAGACAGGAAACTCCCGAGGAGCACCTGCGGTGGTTTGGGTTGGGTTTGTGAACTGCAGAGAGTGGGAGGAACAGATGCTCCGCACGCTGGCATGGCACGTCTGTGGAGGCCAGGGCCCTCCGCGTGCTTGTCCGGCGGGCGTCCCTGCAGGTGTCAGCCGCCGTGCACTGTCCTGCGTGGAGACGCTCACTCTCTGGGTACCTGGAGAAGCAACAGGAGAGGATGAAGCCTCATCGAGTGGCCCCAGCTTTGGGATAAGGCCCGCCGCCCCTGACTGGGTGTCTGTAGAGTCTGGGTGTGTCAGGAGCACTGGGGAGGCCAGAACCTCAGCTTTATGAGCTCAGGAGGTGGCTGTGGTTGAGCTGAGGTGGAAGAGTCACCTGTGGGAAGTACACGGCCTTCTTTCCTGCAGGCCCCACGGCCACTCGGCTGCAGCTGGAGGTTGGACGTGGAGAACCCCCACAGGCAGGGTGTTCTCTCCCTTTATAGCCACAGAGCAGGCCCAGGAAGCAACGGGGGTGTGGGCTTGGCCACCCCAGAAAATGGCGTTTGCGAGGAGAGGGGAAAATGCATTTCAGCCGCTGATGGAGAAGTAAAACAGGAAGGGAGAGCCCAGTGTCTCTGAAAGACAGGGGGTCCGGAGAACTGGACATTGGAGGAGAATCATCTCTTACAATAAAATAGATCACAGACATTCAGCGGTTTCCTCATGCTAGTTCTATGTTTAGGTACCAAAAATGAAATTTATTTTTGTAATATAGAGTGAAAGGGGTCATTGTTTTGGGAAATAATATTTTAAGTTTTTATTCCATGTTTTAGTAAATTATTGTAAAACCTAATATATGTTTGCAATGCTGTTTATAACCTAGGAAGAAACTCCAAGGAGAGAGTCCCTCCTGAGCTTGGGTTCTGCAGGGAGGGAGGAGTGGGCCGTCTGTCCATGGCGGTGCTCTCGCCCTGCTGCGAGTGGGGAGGGTCCTGTCACCCGCCCCGTGTCACCCCAGCCCTGTCACCAGTGGGGAGGGTCCCGTAACCCACCCCATGTCACCCTGGCCCTGCCGTGAGTGGGGAGGGTCCTGTCACCTGCTCCGTGTCACTCTGGCCCTGCTGCCAGTGGGGAGGGTCCCATCACCTGCCCCGTGTCACTGTGCTCCTGAAAGTTCTCTCTGCAGCAGGCCACGGTCTTAGCCTGCAGACACTGGCGGTCTCTGGGGACCTGGGGGCTGTCACAGCTAGGGGGGCGCTGGTGGGGCCAGGGCTGCCGCCCAGCTCCCTACAGTGCCTAGGACAGGTGCCCAAGCCCAGCAGAGAATTACCCAGCCCAGATGGCGCTGGTGCCCTGGAGTAAACTAATACTTCAAAATCGGTTTGAGTTGTTTTTCCTTTGGGAGTTTTCATTTCACCCTTTGAAATCATTAGGAGTTACTGTTTTGAATGTGTTGTGTTTTTTTTTTTTTTGTCACCCAGGCTGGAGTGCAGTGGCACAATCTCAGCTCACTGCAACTGCTGCCTCCGGGGTTAGAGTGATTCTCCCTCCTCAGCCTCCCGAGTATCTGGGATTACAGGTGTGCACCACCACACCTGGCTAATGTTTTATATTTTTAGTAGAGATGGGGTTTCACCATGTTGGCCAGGCCTGTCTCAAACTTCTGACCTCTAGTGATCCGCCCACCTTGGCCTCCCACGGTACTGGGATTACAGGTGTGAGCCACCGTGCCTGTCCGGGGCTTGTTGTTTTGAAGTGCTACAAAACCAGACTAGCGATTTATTGACCTATGGCTTGAAAATACTTCTTTTTTTAAAAAAAAAAAAGCTGGCCTATAATCCCCGCACTTTGGGAAGATGAGGTGGGAGGATTGCTCAAGTCCAGGAGTTCGAGACCAGCCTGGGCAACATGGCGAAACCCTGTCTCTACTAAAGAAGTACAAAAAAAGTAGCTGGGCATAGTGGTGTGCGCCTGTAGTCCCAGCTACTCGGGAGGCTGAGGTGGGAGGATCGCCTGAGCCCGGCAGGTAGAGGCTGCAGTGAGCCGAGATCACACCACTGCACTCTAGCCTCAGCCGAGATCACACCACTGCACTCTAGCCTGAGCAACTGGAGTGAGACCCCATCTCAAAAAAAGGCGGGTAGGGGAAGACAAGATGAATCACTGCTTCAGTGTCACTTATTCTAAAAGTACTCAATCACCTTCACTTAGCTGGGGCTGATTAATTTGATTTTAGTATTTTGCACTCTTGATTCCTCTTCAGTAGATAATACCATCGAGCAGCATAAACGCCTCTGCTCTCAGGCTCTGTAGGGAAAGTTGAAAGACTTCGCATTCAGCCTCTATATTTAATTTATTAAAAATGGCACAGAGGACTTCTTTTGCTCTTTAAATGTAGAAATTCTGGAAGGTGTTAGACCGCAGCGTGGCAGGAAGCTTAAAGGTGGACAGAACCCTTAACTTATGTTTGTTTTCTTATTTTGTTAAATGAACTCCGAGGGAAAAATAGTTTAAAACCGAGTCATTCATTTCCTTCCCACGTAAATTGAGTTGTTTAATCCTTGGCAGACACCAAGAAGATACGGGACCTGGTGTCTGATGTGTCCTAGTGTCGATGTGGTCCTGGGTGAGAGGAACCGAGTGTGCCGTTCACCACTGGCCCCGTGTCCTCCCTGGAGGTGTCCGTGGAGTTATAAACAGCGTGATACCTCATTTCAGATTTCCTCTGCTTGTCATAGAGAAATAAAGCCACACTTTAGTCAGCTGTTAAGTCTGCATCTGTCAAAAGGTGTGTGGCCCTCCCAGGACTTCAGGGTTGGTGAGAGTGACTGGGGCGCCGCAGGGCAGGGCAGAGCGGGCACCCTCATTTTCTTGAAGTGAGACACGTTCTTGCTGGGACAGAACATGACGGAATACTGGGTCCTACTTTCAGCACGTGTTAGGCCATCCAGGCAAAGCCCCTGCTGCGGTCACGCTGAGACCACCGGAGCTCCGTGGGAGAGGGGTCTGTAAAGCCCCCTGCTGTTGTGGTCACGCTGAGACCACCGGAGCTCCGTGGGAGAGGGGTCTGTAAAGCCCCCTGCTGTTGCGGTCACGCTGAGACCACCGGAGCTCCGTGGGAGAGGGGTCTGTGCCTTGAGTTTGGGAAGCTGGGTGCTGCTCTCACCAGGGGGTGAGGTGTCTGCATGTCTGCGTCCAGCTGTTCCCATAACAGGACAGCGGCCTGGGTGGCACCACCCCCACGCGCCGCTAGTGAGTGGTATGGCACCGCCAGGCCGAGGCTGAGTCCTACCTGGGTTGCAGCCCCTTCTGTGGTCCTGGAAGCCTCCTTGGTCAGGCCCATCAGGCTGGAGGTGCACTTGGAACCCAGCTGCAGGAGGTGTACCTCAGCTGGACCTGCCCAATGCCTGAGCAGGGCTGGAGAGAGGAAGAGATCCGCCCTGGGAGCCCGCGAGGGAAGGTTCCCGGCTGGCCGGCGGGTGCGTCCTCCATCTGAGCCTGCCGGCGGGTGCGTCCTCTGTCTGAGCCAGTGAGTCTGCCCCTTGGCACAGGGCTTTATAGGCCCCCTCCGCCTGCTCCTCTCTGGCTGGGCTCTGGGCGGCCTCCTCTGAAAGCTAGCGTTAACCATTTTTTTGCTGGCCTTTTTTCTCCCACACTTTGGCAATCAGCTCAGTTCCACTAGACTTATTTTTATGGAAGTTTAACTGCTTTTCTTCACCCACAGATACAAACCTTTCTTTAAGTTTGAAGGCATCATTCTAGCTATTGTGTATCTTTTAGGTAATAACCTGTCATCCTGGGTTGAAGCAAGCAACATTCTTGTTTTTGCAACTGACCTGCGTTAAACACTAAATTTCGTAACTGACTTAGTAGCACGTGCATGATACATAAAGAATTTAACTTAGGAATTTCACAGACATTTGCAGAGAGAAATGTAATCCCAAGAAATAGCAGGCATTTCTGACAAGTAACTTAGGAATCTGAGTACTGGTTGAGCATCTGGAAATCTGAAGTCCAGAGTGCCCCACAGTCCAACACTGTTGGAGCGTCGCGACTCAAGTGGAAAATTCCACACCTGACCTCGTGTGGCGGGCTGCAGTCCCAGGCACAGTTCAGAGTTTGTTTTATACATGAAATTATTAAAAGTGTTGTATAAAGTTACTTGCAGCAGTGTGTGTAAGGTGTGTAGGAAACACAAATGAATTTTGTATTTAGCTTTCTCATTCCGTAGCTGCAGGCATTCCAAAATCTGCAGAAATCTGAACTCCGAACTCCTCCGGTCCCAAGCGTTCAGATGAGGGACCCTCAGCCCCTAGTTTTCTCTGAGTGTTGGCGGCGCCTCAGGTCCCGCCTCCCGCGCTCGCTGCAGAGGCGTCGGAACTTACCTGCCGGCCAGGTGTTGGTGGCCTCTTGCCCAGCAGGCCGCCTCCGTTGCCCGTGGTTGCGGATTTCACAGCCTCCACGGCTTCGTGCGGGCGGAGAATAAACCTCCCTCCGCGGACTCCCGGGGCCTCCGAACCGCCTCGTGCGGGGCGGCCGCCTCCGAGTGCGCCACCTGCTGGCCGTTCGAATCTCAGCCGCCGCTTGGGGAACCCTGGGCTGCCCCGTGAGAGCAGAGCGAGAGCAGAGCCAGGCCCCCCAACCCCGGCATGGGCTGCCCAGGCTGAGGGGGTCCTCAGGCACTGCCAGCCCCGGCTGTCCAGGCCGAGGGGTGAGTCTTTCTCCGAACGGAACTTCAGTGAATCTCAATCCTACTTCTGGGTGTCGTTTTCCCTCTGTAATGTTTCCAAGCGGTGAGATTGGATCCTTTGTCCGCTGAGTATAAGTAATGCGGCTGCTGCAGCCTGAGGCGGGTTCAGAGGCCTGCATGGGACCCCCCCACCCCCGCCGGGAGAGCTGGTGCAGGTGCAGGTGCAGGAGTGGGGTGCTGGGCCTCCAGGTGCGCTCGGCCCCTCGGGGCCTGCTCCCCCACAGGAGAGCTGGTGCAGGTGCAGGAGTGGGGTGCTGGGCCTCCAGGTGCGCTCGCCCCTCGGGGCCTGCCGGGGAGTTTGCTGCTTGGTGATGTTTCGTTAGGAGCCTGTTGCAGAGGCGCCTTAAGGCATCTGTGCAATAGCAGTTTATAGTCTTACAGATGTGTGTTTTAGAAAACACACACACACATTTTCTAAACAGAATGCTGTGTTAAATTTCTAATGGAAAAATACTAACGTAGGGTTTTCTTCCAGCAGTAGAAAGTTGACAACTCTAATATGTACCTTTTTGTATTTGGATGATAAAGAGCTGATTTGCTCTTAGACACTTTTTTTGACCAGTTGTGAAGTTGAGATGATTTTAGCATTAAAAATGCCCGAGACACCATTTTAAAAGATGTGAGTCATGAGAAAGTACAGAAAAAAATAAATAAAGTAAAAATCCAAACCTTGAAATAGCCGAGACATGTCACTTAAAAATAGCTGTGCCCTGCTAGTGCAAATCCATGGCTTCTGGTCTCTCTGCCTGTCCCAGCGGCTGAGGAAGAGCTCAGCTCCCAAGCTCTCCACTCACGTGCCCTGGGTGGGGAGCCTGCCCTGGACGGGCGAGTGGCTGATACACCTAGATTTCCTGCTTGCAACATAGAATTAGCCGGATTGGGGCTCTGGGTCTCGGAGCCCAGCCTTCTCCTGTAAGCACTGGGTGGGGGCATCTGGATCTCAGAGCCCAGCCTTCTCCTGTAAGCACTGGGTGGGGGCTCTGGGTCTCAGAGCCCAGCCTTCTCCTGTAAGCACTGGGTGGGGGCATCTGGATCTCAGAGCCCAGCCTTCTCCTGTAAGCACTGGGTGGGGGCATCTGGGTCTCAGAGCCCAGCCTTCTCCTGTAAGCACTGGGTGGGGGCATCTGGGTCTCGGAGCCCAGCCTTCTCTTGTAAGCACTGGGTGGGTGAGTAACTTGTCAGCTACCGCACAACTGCGGGTGTGAGGGACAGGGCCCAGCTGCAGGAACTTCAGTCCCCAAGACCTCCTTAATACTTGCATGGGTGATGGGATGGGAGGAATCTCGTGGACTGTTTGTAAGGTGTAAAGACCTTTCGCCAATTTTTAAATCTGTTTTTGTGTTTTTTTTGTTTTTTGTTTTTTGTTTTTGAGACAGGGTTTTGCTCTGTTGTCCAGGCCAGCATGCAGTGGCCGGATCTCAGCTCACTGCAGCCTCCCACCTCCCAGGCTCAAGCCATCCTCCCACCTCGGCCCCTGAGAGGCTGGGACTACAGATGTGAGCTGCTAATTTTTTTTTTTTTTTTTTTTAGAGAGAAAGTCTCACTGTATTGCCAAGGCTGGTCTTGAACTCCTGGGCTCAAGTGATCCTCCCGCCTCAGCTTCCCACAGTGTAGAATGTGACATTGAACGCATGCATCCTGGGTGCTGTGCCTGGTGCTCTGCGTGCTTGATCTCAGGTCACCCTCCTTCAGAGCCTGTGAGGCACTTCTCCGTGTCTCATGGATGCAGAAACTGACTGCAGGGAGGTAGTGTCACCTCGGCCTCACAGCCAGCCAGGAGCAGATCTGGGAGTGGCCGGCTGACTCTGAGCACATGGTCTCGGCCCATACACCAGAGGCATCCTGGGGCAATAGTAATCTTGTCAGGCACTGATTTCCTTGTTGAATTTTATGTCGTTATGAATTTTTAAGAAGTGAACATATTTTCCTGTTCATCCCCAGGATAGAATAAAAGGGAAGAACTTCAAGGGGAATTTCATCTGATCATTGCTTATTGAGTTAAACGCGCACACAGCCAAATATTGGAAAATGCATACAGAAAAACACACACAAAGTAAGGCAGTGCATCTCCGGCTTCAGGAGCCCTCCTGAGCGAATGCCCGTGTGGGAAACCTTGGCCCTCGCCTTTCAGCCTTCAGTCCTCACGTACAAAGCCCAGTCCTTGTGCTGAGAGGCTCCAGACGCAGGGCCTGCGGTGTCTTCCCGGCACCCCTCACTCTGCCAGCGCTGACTGACTGAGCGACCCCTTCCTGCTCCTTGTCCCATCCCCAGTCCTCTCCTGTGCCCTCTGTGGTAGGCAGCGGCACGGGTCCCCCTGACTCTGCAGGAGCAGAGCGCTCAGGGAGTTGCATGTTGCTGTCCAAACAACCCTGGTCTTCAGCGTTGCCAGCTCCAGCCTGTGTTCCGCTTCCTCACCCCACATGCAACGGCTGTGTAATACCGGGCAACATCTCTAACCTTCCTGAGCCTCAGCGCCCATCTGTGCAGTGGGGTGCGTGGGTCTGCCGGTTCTATGAGATACCACACGCCCCTTGTCTCTGCTGGGCGGAGTGAGGCTTCCCTTCCCACTGCTGCTCCTTTTCAAGGGGAGCGGTCCACTGGGGGCAAGCGTGGGGCAGCACTGCCGGAGATGAGCCCAGTCCTGGCTCATTCGCTTCTCCCCCATAGGCACAAGGGAGGGAGCAGTCGGTTGGAGGTGCTCACAGTATCACACGCCGGATCCACCTTACAGGGGAGACATCAAGGTGTGTGTGGAAGGAATTTTAGAGCTAATACAGGCTGGAAGACAGCCTGAGGTTCAGAGAGGTACACCGTGTCTCACATGCCAGGCGGATACATTCTCTGATGATCCAGAGTCAGGGGAGGCCGAGAGCCCCTTCCTACACCCCCAGGAGGCATCGCTGGCTTCCCCTGCCTCCGCAGGACATGCAGGAGCACCCTTGGGCATCTGATCCTCACAGGCCTGGAGCATTAAGTGGACATACACCAGCAGCCCCTTTATAGACAGAGCCCAGGTCCCAGGGAGGCTGTGTGTGGTGTACACGGGTCTCCCCGCTCCGGTGGCAGGTGGGGTTGGAACTCTGCATTCTGTGCCATATCCTGACCTTCGGGACATCCTGTGACCTCCCCTCAGACAGACCTGCCATATCTTCCATCTGTTCCATTCCGGCCTGGGGAGGTTAGCTGCTGTCAGGACGTGGTGCAGCCCACGGTGACTTCGTCTCTCTTGTTCCTTCAGAAGCACGCAGGCCATGGCTGCATGCCAGGTTGGAGCCTTTCATTCAGGGTGTGTGCCTGCCAAGCCCGGAAACAGTGCGGTGAGGGGCAGGGCATCCTGGTTTTCTGCTGTGTCGCCTGGCGCTGGTGGACGTGAGCACGTCGGTGCCGCCGTCCTGTCCCTGCTTGGTGTCCGCAGCGGGAGGGCCCAGTTAGGGCGGGTGTGGGCTGACCACAGCATGCTGAGCATGGAAGGGCAGGTGCTCCCGTCGTCTGCAGCTGCGTCCTGGGCAGTGCCAGCCTCCACACGCTCACTTTTTTTTTTTTTTTGAGATGGATTCTCACTCTGTCACCCAGGCTGGAGTGCAGTGACACGATCTCCACTCACTGTAAGCTCTGCCTCCTGGATTCACGCCATTCTCCTACCACAGCTTCCCAAGTAGCTGGGACTACAGGCGCCCGCCACCACACCTGGCTAATTTTTTGTATTTTTTTATTAGAGACGGGGTTTCACCGTGTTAGCTAGGATGGTTTC